TTCAAATGCATCAATTCTTGTACGGTCTTCCTTATTCAATATCCAACTTTCGCATGCATATGGTGCAATGGCGAATACCATGGCTTGAGTCAGGCATACCTTATCTCTCAGAGAAACACCCTTGCTCTGCAGTACTCTAAAGACATCTTGTGCAGCACATTTGCCTAAGGCAACATGTCTTTGATCTCTAAACTGCTGTTTCCATGAGCAGATTGTGGCTCCACGTAAGACAAAAATCCTTGACAACATCAACCTTTTTCTACATTTATCATGATGCTACCTATTGGTCCACTTGTGAGGATTTGGGCCTTCCTTCTATTGAGCTGTTATTCATACTGAAGGCTACAATCCTTGATCTTTATCAGCAAGTGCTTCAATTCTTCTTCACAAGCAAAGTTGTGTCATGTGCATACCATAGGTTGTTGATTGCCTTCCTCCAACCCTAATGCCACACTCTTATTCAGATAATCCAGCATCTCTGATGATTTGTTCAGTGTATAGATTGGTGAGAGGATACAACCCTGACACACTCCTGTCCTGATTTAAACCATGCAGTATGCCTTTGTTCTGTCTGCACAACAGCCTCCTGAGTCATGTACAAGTTCCGAATGAACACAATGAAGTGTTCTGGAATTCCCATTCTTCTCAAGGTCATCCACAGTTTATTATGGTCCACACAGTTGAATGCCTTGATATAGTCAATGAAACACAAGTAAACATCTTTCTGGCATTCTCCTTGATATATCTGACATCACAAATTATATCCCTTGTTCCACTTGCTCTTCTGAATCCAGCCTGAACTTCTGAAACCTTCTTGTCAATGTACTGCTGCAACTGTTGTTGGATGATTTTAAGCAAAATTTGACTTGTGTGTGATGTCAATGATATTGTTCTAGAATGTGAACATTCTGTTGGGTCGCCTTTCTTTGGAAAGGGCACAAATATGGATCTCTTCTGGTCAGTTGTCCAGGTAACTGCCTTCCAAATGTCCTGGCGTAGACGAGTGAGTGCTTCCAGTGCTTCTTCAGCTTGCTGATGTTCCATCAATTCCTGGAACCTTGTTTTGGGCTAGTACATTCAGTGCAGTTTGAACTTCTTCCTCAGCATCATTGATTCTTGCTTATCTGCAACCTCCTGAAATGGTGCACTGTGGACTAGTTCTTTTTTCACAGTGACTTTGTGTATCCTATCCATCTTCTCTTGATGCTTCCTGCATCATTCAATATTTTCCCTAAAGAATTTTTCAAGATTGTCATTCAAGGCCTGAATTTTTCCTTGAGTTATTTTAGTTTAAGATTTGCTACGTGTGTTCATCCCTTTTGGTTTTCTAATTCTAGGTCCTTGCACTTTTCGTTATATTTGGCTTTATCTTCTTGAGATGCTCTTTGACATTTTCTACTCAGCTCTTGGATTTCATCCTCTGCCTTTGCCACTCCACGATTAATAACTCATTTAGAGTCTCTTCTGACATCCACTTTGATCTTTCCTGTCTTTTTAATGACATTTTGCTTCTTCATGTATGATGGTCTTGATGTCCTCCCACAGTTCATCAAGCCTTCTGTCATTAGTGTTCAATGCATCAAATCTGTTCTCTTGATGTTCTCAAAATTCAGATGGGATAGACTCAAGGTTGTATTTTGGCTCAAGTGGACTTGTTTTAATTTGCTTCGGCTTTATCTGGAACTAACATCTGAGCAATTGATCGTCTGTTTCAGTCGGCCCCTTCTCTGGTTTTAGGTGCTGATATTGTGCTTCTCCATCGTGTCTTCCCAAAGACATAGTCAGCTTGATTCGTGTGTATACCATCTAGCAAATTCCACACATGCCATTTACATTGTTGGACAAAGGTATTTACAGTGAAAAATTCATTGGTCGTACAAAATTCTATCATTCTATCTCCTGTCCCATCTCTACCATTAAAACCACGTTTTCTGGCTACAGTTCCTTTCTCCTTATTACCAATTTTCAATCATTATCAGTGCATCTGGGTTGCATGTTTAATCAGTTTCAAACTGAAAAAGCTGATAGACGTCTTCAATGTCTTCATCACTCGTTTTAGTGGTTGGTGTGTACATTTGAATAATAGTTGAATTAGCTGGCCTTGCTTTTAGCACAGAGAGTTTATCTTATCACATACAGCATTGTACTTCAGCACAGATGTGGAGATATCCTTTGTGACAATGACTGTCACACCATTCCTCCTGAATTCATCGTTCCCAGCATGCCTCGTAAACCATATAATTGTCTCATGCAAGATAGCTAATACTTATGTGCTAATAAAATTTCTTTTTAAAAAAAGGTAATACCAGTCCATTTAATTTCAGTAATACTTAAAATATGGATCTTTATGGTTCCATTTCAATTTTTACTTCAAGTTTTCCTATAGTCATATGTTGTACATTCCGTGTTGAGATTATTAATGGATGTTTGCAGTGGTTTCTTCTCATTTTGAGTCATTCCCCCTCAGCAAATGGAGGCCCCCAAAGCCGTACTCCATCTACATCCTTACAGTCTCTAATATGAGAAGGCAACTTCTCCTTAGTCATATTTTGAGTTTCTTCCAACATGGGAATCTTCTGTCTCACAATACACACAATACAATATTCCTCTGCTATTCACACCGCTTTCAGTGGCTAATCCCTCAGAAGTGGACAGAATGTTTCTTCCTAGTCTGTCCTTAGTCTGGAAGCTCCATTGAAACCTGTCCAAGTTGGGTGAGCGTACTGATAATTTTCAGACCAGATTCAGAAGAGGACATGGAAAAGGGATATCATTGCTGAAGTCAGAAGGATCCTGGATCAACACAGAGAATACCAGAAAGATATTTACTTGTGCTCCGTTAACTCTGCAACAGCATTCGACTCTGTGGGTCATAACAAACTATGGATAACCTTGAGAAGTCTGGGAACTCCAGAACATTTCATGGTGCCCATGTGCATCCTGTACATGGATCGAGTAGTGAGAACAGAACAAGGAAATACTGCATGGTTTAGAATATAAAAAGGTGTGTCAGGATTGTAGCCGGTCCTCTTACTTATTCAATCTGTATGCTGAACAAATAGCCAGAGACACTGGATTATATGAAGAAGATCGTATCCGGATTGAGGGATTTTATTAGCAACTTGTGATGCAGATGACACAACCTAGCTTGCTGAAAGTGTGATGGATTTGAAGCTGATAAGAATCAAGGATTGCAGCCTTCAGTATGGATTACAACTCAATGTAAAGACGACCAACATCCTCACAACTGGACCAATGATAACATCGTGATAAACTAAGAAAGGATTGAAGTCATCAAAGATTTCATCTTGCTTGGATCCACAATTAATGCTCATGGAAGCATCGGTCAAGGAGTCAAAAGATGCATTGCATTCCTTAAATCTGCACAGGGTGTCTTTAAAGTGTGGGAAAGTAACGGTGTTACTTTGAGGGTGTGCCTCACCCAAACCATGGTATTTCCCATTGCCTAATATACATAGGAAAGAATTGTTGTAGTTGTTGTTCCTGCCAGGTGCCTGCGACTCCTAGTGACCTTGTATACAACAGAACAAAACGCTGCCTGGTCCACATCATCCCCACAATTGTTGCTGTGTTTGCGCCCATTGGTGGTACCCACTGCTTCCATCCATCTCATCAAGGGTCCCCCTTCTTTTGGCTCCCCCCGACTTGATGTCCTTTTGCAGGGACTGTTCTCTCCTGATTATCTATGCAGAGCCATCCTTACTTCTAAGGAGCACTCTAACTATACATCCTCTAAGACAAGCGGGTAGCTTTGAAGAAATGGCAATATAGCCTACGGAGCCGATAGCCGCAGATGGAAGCTATGTGGTAAAGCATTAGCATCACATTTTGATACTTTTCTTTCATAAAGGTTTCCATGCTTCTGTAGCAATGCATTTCAATTGTGCTTCTTAGATGCAAATTGCAATCATTCATTTTCTGGGCTCCTAGAATTGGGCCTTGTCCTGGGTGAGATAGTAAAGGAATACCACGGGCCCTTCCTGAGATAAACTTCTCTGGACAAACCTACTTACTGTGGATGGTGGTTGGCTAAGATCTATCTCGTTTTTATTTTCGTATCCACCTGCTACTTTGTACCAAGCGGAAAACACACACACACACACACACACACACACACACACACATCAGGACCCACTTAGGGGCAATTCTGGCTTTCCCTCTCTATGAGTTAGGACCAATCATCCAAAGCGAGGTCATTCTGAGTCCCAAGTTTGGAAACGGAGCCCTAGACCCTTCCATTTTTCTGCTTGACTTCGACAAGTAAATTGGTGTGCCTAGGCTCACGTGGGCCCTGCAGCTGGGCTAGACTCCAAGTGCATAGTAGCTTCCCGAGTTCTAACTGGGTCTGTCCCGGCTGTGACCTGTAGTGATATTTCTGAAGACCGCAGAAAGGGATGCAAGCGTTCACATCTCTACTTTGGGTTTTCAACTAGCTTTACACTTTTCAAAGAAGGCAGCATGCGAGAGTTATTTTGGTGACGGAGCGATGCAAACCTTTCCACACGTTTCCCCAGGTGCCAGCCTCGGCCCAATCGCCAGCAGTTTAGGTGTTCAGCATAATTTGCACCCTCGGTGCAGTACGCACTCCCAGTGCCAGCTTGTTCGTGTTTTGTTTTATTTTATTTTGCTTTTCTCTTTACCTTGAAACGAGTCTACCATTTCAGAGGGGGAGGGGAAACAAGGGGCGGGGTGGGGGGAGCAGAGGCGAGGGGGAGAACGACTGACAAAATGTGATAGTGTTTTATCGTTTCCTTAAAATGAAACCTTGTTACGAATATCTCCCGGCATCTCCGGGATCCTGGTTTGATCCGATGCGGGGGCAGGCGCGTCTCCCAAGGCGTCAGGACGGAGCCTGCCGTTTGCGGTGAACACGGGAGCACGTGGCTCCGGAGCTCGCCGTTTTGTGTTTCTGCCTGGCGTTCCGGGGCGCCACGTTGACTCACCTTCCCTTCCCGTTTGTGTCTGTCTGCCTCTTGCAGTGACGGTGGTGCTGTTTGTAGCTCTGCGGCGGCAGCGGAAAAAGGAGCCCTTGATCATTTCCAAGGAGGACATCCGAGACAACATCGTCAGTTACAACGACGAGGGTGGCGGGGAGGAGGACACCCAGGCCTTCGATATCGGCACCCTGCGGAACCCCGAAGCCATCGAGGACAACAAACTGCGGAGGGACATCGTGCCCGAAGCCCTCTTTCTGCCCCGACGGACTCCGGCGGCTCGCGACAACACGGACGTGCGAGACTTCATCAACCAAAGGCTCAAGGACAACGACGCGGACCCCACGGCCCCGCCCTACGACTCGCTGGCCACCTACGCCTACGAGGGCACCGGCTCGGCGGCCGCCTCGCTCAGCTCGCTGGAGTCGCTGGCCACGGACGCCGACCAGGACTACGACTACCTAAGGGACTGGGGCCCTCGCTTCAAAAAGCTGGCCGATCTGTACGGAGGGGCGGACAGTGACAAGGACTCCTAAGTGTTGCCTTTTGTGTTCTTTTCCCAGCCGACCCCCGGTCCCTGCGTGAGAAGCGGCTCCCCCGCTATTGATCCCCGGGCTGCCGTCGGGGCGCACCCACTGGTAGAGATCTTTTTCTAGTACACTTTGATGCGCTTCCAAGAGACAGATTTTTATTTTTAGTGCCCCCAGTTTGCCGAAGTTGGGGGGTGGGGAGAGGGGCCAATAGCTCCCCACGCTCGCGCGCGCCCTCGGGGGACAAGCTGAGAACCCTTGACGCCACCGGCCTGGTCTGTTTCCTCCTCCCCTGGCTGCCCTGTCCCCTTCCCAGGCCCGGGAGGGGGGGTGGGGGCGGGAAGGTGCTTTTCCGATGACACTGTCATTTCAGTAAAAGAAAGGTGATGAGAACCGTCATGACGCTGTTGCTGGCGTGTCAGCTCATGGAGAGAATGGAATAGGCGGACGTGTGCTTTCTAGACAGTAAAGCCTGTGGCAGCTGGGACCTATGTAAAGTGGGAAGCTGCCAACTTCTCCCCCCAACAGAGTGGTAGAAACCAGGGGTTACCCGGCGCCATCCCGCCATCTGGCAGTCCCTCCGAGTTCCGGCTCTCACAGGTTTTACTGTATTTGAAAGGACACGGAATCGGGAATGACTTCTGCTCATCCTGCTTGCTCTTCGGGAATTTCCCTGGCACCACCATCCACCCATGTTTTAGGACCATCGTGAGCAAACAAAGAGCCGATTTAACGGCACTGTCTAAAAACCACAGCAACACGAGTTAGTGAACGTCCGTTACTTGCAGACTCATGATACATTATGTATGAGGCAGGCAAAAGGCTTGTCCTCATAAGAGAGGAAATGGGAAAATACCTAATAATGTCCACAGAGGACATAGTTGGCATCCTTTTGAAGATTTGGCCACCCGATGTATCTCACATCACTTGAAATGATTCCAGTGATCATCAGGCTAATCACAAATGAGTCTAAGGGTTACGAACGCCGGTGACACAAAGTGTAATTCCTTGTCTGTGGTTGTCAACAGTGTTATTCTTATACTTGAAAGCAGCACTCTGAGGTATAAGAATTCACATTCTTCAAATGCTTCTTACACAACTAAGGTGAATGTGGAAAGCTAAGAAACTCCAGCCCTGTCCTCTGAGTGTAGTGGAGAGATAAGAGTCCTTTGGGCTTGATACCTTGCCCTTCACATCTGGAAACATCTATATATTTATATGAGATAGACCTAGGTAATCAGCATCAAGGTCATGGTGAAAGCCTACCTACCCTATGTTTGGGAGAAATCGAAAGGGGAGAAACCTGAATCCCTTCTACACAAGTGTTTAAGATCAGAATTAAAATGATAGTTGACTTTCAAAAGCATTCCTACTTTTTTTTTCATTCTTTTTCACTTTGCTTCCATGGCAACCCCAGCATCCCTGTCTTTGAACTGATGATAAACTAATGGTCTCAAACTCTCAGAGAAACACAATGCAAAATGCACCTAGGCTATTAAATTGTCTCTAATTATGCAATTAGCATTACAGTCACATGGTTGAACTGGTCTTAGCCAGTTGGCAGGTTCAAATCATGATAGCCTATCGCTGTTCTAATAAGTCTTACCATTAGAATCTTACGTAGTACCAGGATCAGAAACTTCTAAAGTACTGTACTAAAAACTGAACAAAACCGTCTGTGTATTTAGAAAATGTGCTTCCGCATATTCTGACTTTATTTTCTGTTAATATTCATTTTCTATGGGTCGTTTGAGTATCATTTCCATTGGTTTAATATCCTATCAGCATATACTGTCTACTGGGAAACACATTGTTGTGTTACTTGAGTCTTGAAATAGGTGTCTTACCCAGGAAGTTATGGCAGTACCTTTAAAACAAATGTAGCATTTTGGGTTAGGCAAGATTAGACAAGAGTGAAAAATTTTACAATCATATTATTCCTTGTTTCCTAAATAATTTTCTAATTTGTAATAGCCTTCCCTGTAGATGGGCAAATTCTTCCAGCTTGGACCATTTCCTCTAATGGGGCTTTCTTTTTCTAGTTCTGCGCGCGCACAGGAATGCAAAGAAAATGCTCAAGAGGGCTTCCCTGTAATGAACTGATGTGTACCATAGTCACAGGTACGTGTGTAAAAAAAGATAGCATAGTAAATATCATTCATAAGAACTAGTTATTCGTAGCAATAGAGGAGCACCACAATCACACGATTAACTACCATCAAATTCTAGAACTCTCTCTCCTTAACTTCTTGTCATGTAACAAATCAGGAAAGATCATCCTTTAAAAAGAAAATTGTATCACAAAAAGTCTCCCTTGGAACTCGGCATTAAGAGGAACGCTGTCCAATGAGCAAGGGCAGGTTTAGTAGAATATCTGAGATGTGATTGGCAGAGTATTTCCTGGCCCACCCTGAGAAGTGTCACCAAGTATCAAGAACAAGTTAAGATGACTAACTATTGAGGTAACAGTTTCATCTTTTACCACAAAAGCTGATGAGGGAAGCACTCTCGAAGACACTGAATAATTTGAGCCTGGGAATGAATTCTGATACTTAGTACCGAAAACCCTGTGGAGTAGCCTGCTCTGCCCACGTGGGGCCGCTGATTTCAGGGCATCTCGCTCACAAACCCTGAATTTAGTGCAAACATCCCTGACATACCACGTTTGAGTGAGACGGTCCTATTAAGAATCCTTGGTGTCTTAACGATTCGCTATCAGTTTCATCATTCTCCTACGTGAATCTGATCAAACTCCATTCACTTGGTAGAAAAAAGAAATTTTTTTCGGCTGCTTGATTCCCAAGTCATTGTGAGAGACTGGGGGGGTGGGGGGACTCATTTCCAGTTCCATTTTTCACATTTTCTCCTTCCTTCTTTTGGTCATGCGAAAGCTGAAGGAGAGTGAAAAGTGGAATCTATTTGCTTTAATCACTGGGAGCTTCCAGTTCATTAACTACAAGCAGATTGCTTCTGTGCGTTTTTTGGAGGATTGTTGAGGGCTCTTGACTTCAGGGTCCTCTATTCGAAGGGAAGGGCCCTGGTGGTTTGGCGGATGACCTTGGAACCCACCTCGAGAGAGATGCAGCTGGCTGCTCCCAAAAGGTGTACGGCCTTGGAGCCCCTCAGAAACTCTGTCCTGTAGGGTTAACGTGAGTCTGATTGTGGGAAGAGGGTCTTCACACCCCTGAGCTGTTTCCTAGAATATGATGGAGATTTAAAACGCTAGTCATTATGCGTCCGTGTACTTTCTCCCGAGAGGCATGCAGAAGCTACCCCCACAGAAGGATTTCAATCAAATGGGGGTCAAGGAAAGATGGTCCGTAAAACCA